GAAGACGTCTTCATCTGGGAGCCAAATATCTCCATCTCATTCAAACTTCAATTTAATATAAAATTGTGTGAGTCAAAACAATGTTTAGCTGCACACGAGTTTGCTAAGTTGCTTTCAGAATAACATGCATTTTAGACATCCAAACAAAGTGCCACCAATCACACTCTCTCTGATCCCAACAAACCGGCTCAGTGTAAATAGTGAAATGTCAGCGTGCAGCTACATTTTTCCATTCTGAGAATCGACAGAGCGACAGCACATGATTGATGCGGATACAGACAGAAAGGTGAGTGAAGGTAAATAATGAAATCTAGCACTCTGTGAGATCATGTGCCAGTTGGCTCGAGACGGATCTGCAGCAGAAACAAATATATGCATACCGGTATAGTTTACATAAACAGCTCGGTGTGTAGCAAGGATGGTGAGTGTGCTTAAACTGACTTATATTTGTTAAAAAAGGTCTTTAATTTTAAGCTTTTGTTTTTGTAAGTCAGTCATAGTGATCTCTTTTCTATTCCCTCTTTAAACACATTTTTATCAGAGAGCCTTTCCTAATTTTACTTGAGTTTTATATTCATGGGCATGATTTCAGATGTCAGGTAACGTTAAGCTAACAGTTTTTTGGACATTCTTACTCATCACAAATTTGTCAGTTAACGTTGTTACAAATTTGTCAGCTAACGTTGTAACGCCCCGCTGAAAAACAGAAAAATAAATAAATTACTCCGAAAAACAGAAAAATTACACCAAAAAACAGAAAAATAAATAAATTACTCTGAAAAACAGAAAAAATTACACAAAAAAAACAGAAAAATAAATAAATTACTCCGAAAAACAGAAAAAAATACACCAAAAAAAACAGAAAAATAAATAAATTACTCAGAAAAACAGAAAAAAATACACAAAAAAACAGAAAAATAAATAAATTACTCAGAAAAAGTAATGCAATACGCTTCCGTACTTCACTGCTTCCTTTCTCATCTCCTACAGCATAGGATACACTGGACCATCCTTTACAAAAGGAAAGCTGTTGCTGTGGTCCTACAATTCTATACAGCAGCAACATTTAAAGTAGATTATTCGTATTTCAGTGCGACGTGTCCATATTGTTTGACAGACCTGTGCAACTGGGATGAGAAGGCTTTGTTTGCCAGTGGGTGGAGCTAGTGAGCGAGATGGAGAATGTCAGTGGTACTGAAGAAGAGTTAGAATCAGTGATCAGTGACCAGATTTTCTTTAAAGGCTCTTCATGGTCTCTCTCCAAGCTACATCTCCGACCTCCTATTACCGTACACATCAGGACGTACTTTGAGGTCTTCTGTCTGTTCCAGAGGTCTGGCTGAAAACTATAGCAGACAGAACGTTTGCTGTCATTGCCCCGAGGCTCTGGAACAGTCGGCCCGAGGATATCAGGTTGGCTGAGTCAGTGATCTCTTTGAAGTCCCTTCTTAAAACATACTTTTATCTGATTTTACTTGAGTTTTAAGTTCATTTAAACTGTCTTTTATTTCCTCAGTTTTTATACACCAGTGTTTTTATCAGTTCCTTTAGAAGTTGTTGTTTTCATGTGTGGTTGTCTTTTCCTAAGTCCTTATCCTTCACATCTCTCCTTGAGCTCATGCCATTTTCCATCAGGGTCAAGGAAAAGTGTTTAGGGAATGAAATGGGATGAAATTTCTTTGACCATTTGACCACAGCCCTTGAATATCCGAAGCAAATTTCATGGCAATCCCTTTTCCACTTCCACAATTTGAATTTGCTCAGTGAGTCACTCTGGCAATCAGTAATGATGCTCATTACCCATGACCTTGGAGCCGAGCTGCACCAATCACATCGGTGTATCTGATATAGGCGGGCCAGAGGCAAGCTAAACAGATGACAGCGACAGCACTGCGACGACAAAGTCCGGAATCAGTCAGTAAACATTGCAAGATGGCTACGGATGAACACCAGTTGTTTGAAACAGCTTTGGCCGCTACAATGAACGAGTTAGACTTGGCTTTTTCTCTAAAAGAGGAACAGAAGACTCAAATCTTTCCTTTGCAAGAAGGACGTTTTTGCTGTTTTGCCGACCGGATACGGCAAGAGTCTAATCTACCAGTTAGCTCCGCTGGTAGTGCTCTGGATATGTCACCCCGTGTATTGTTCTGATTGGTCTGATTGCGTGCAGTGATATTTTCAAATGTATGCTTGGTGCTGCCCCTCGAGCCATTTGCATTACTCATAGCCAGACAGACCCTAAATCTTTCTAGATTTGGGTCTGGATTTCCAGGCTAGAAGCAGACAGCCCTTCACTCAAAGTGGCCCCACCTATATTTAATGCATAACTTTAAGCTTTCATAACATTTAAACGGGTGAGGTATATAAAAATTTAAATTAGCTGTAGAGACCAAAAACATTTTTGTACCAAGCTGTAAACATGTTTATTTCTGCTGTAAAGTTGAGCATTTTAACATGGTGGGGATTTACTCTGTTGTGGAGCCAGCCTCAAGTGGCCATTTGTAGAACAGCAGTTTTTAGCACTTCAGCATTGGCTTCATTTCTCAGCCTTTGAGGTCACTACTTGAGTGGCACTAGAGTTAAAGTCAGTGGTTTGGCATAGTTGATTCATCATTTGGGAACCATTAATGTCTGTACAAAATTTTACAGCGATCCATCACATAGTCGTTGACATATTTCAGTTTGGACCAAAGTGGCTCACCAACTGATCGACATCCCTAGAGCCACCAGCATGGCTTCAAAGGAGGATAAAATTCCTTTATACAAATGAGAATTTATTGCTTATTAACGCAGAAACCCAGATTTCCTTTGTTGCTGCAAACATTTAAAAAGTTTCCCATCAAAGTGAAACAAGGACAATAGAACACCACATGGACCAGAGCGAACCAAATGAACAAGAGCAGAAACCACTAAAGCAGCAGCGGAGCCATCTGCATTCACTTTACATTGCAGAACATTAAAACAGCCGACTGCCCATCCAGCACAGAGGAATCTGTATGTGCCCCGATTAATCAAAGCCAGGCCGCTTTTATCAAGCATCTGCTCGGTGTTTTCCATGTGCACACATGCACTACAGTCTCACTGTGCTGAGACATCAGAGGGGCCTGCAGCGGGTCTGAACAGCAGAGGGAATCCCTCCAACACCTTCCACCTCCTCCACCCTCATGCAAAGGTTACACTCTGCTGAACAGAGCACATGCAGCTGCAATGACTGATTAGAGATCCACTCTAGAGACCTGCCTTCCTCTTAATCCAGGGGGGAGAAACAGCACTCAGGAGGGTGGATATGACTCCCACATAAGATGGGGAGGAACAAATGAAGGGAAATGTAATCTGTAGCTTTACGTTTGCTGGAACACACATTAAGTGCCGCTGTAAATTTCCTGTCACCTGCTGCCTACGGTATAGTGCTGTGATAAACTGGAAGCCATGTTTTTTTAATCTTATATTCATCCTCTATTTTATTTCACCTTATATTCAAATGTATTTTTATACTGCCTCGTGTTTCTTCTCCTAATGCCTTTTACGTCCTCCTGTAAAACACTTTGCCTTGTTATTGAGAAGTGCTGCACAAATTAACTTTCTTTATGAATGAACATAAAGTGCAAGAGTGACACCTGCTGGCAAAGACCACTCACTATGATATATTTCTATTTATTTTATTCTTCTGATTTATTTTGCAATGATGAGTTGATGCCATGAAGCAATGTATATATTGTGTATTGTATTGTTTCTTAAAAATTCCTAAGTCTCATAGTTTAGATAAAACTAATTCTTAATTTGAATGTGTTCAAAAACAACAGTATTTTGTTGATCTTTGTGATCAATTTGTCTCATTTCTCTGGCTGTGGCTCAGAACATGATGCAGATTTACGCTGTGCATAATATACTGTACAGTTTGATGCAAATGCTACGAAGCACACACTAAATGCAGAGGTAGAAAGTAACTGTACGGTAATGAAGTAAACTTCAACTGGAGTATTTCTGTTTGAGGCTGTGTTATAAGTCTGCTAAACTATATTTTAGAGGGACAACTAAACTTGTAAAGGTTCTGTCTGTGACTCTGGAGAAAGATGGTTGATTGCTGAATCTCATTCCCAGGTCATTAAATGCAGATGCTTTGGTTTGCTTCTTGTACTGAATCACCAACCCGAGAATGAGACTCATCCATCAACTATCTTTCTCCAGAGTTACATAGAGCATGTTTTCTACTCCACATTTATTTCACAGTTACTGGCTTCTTTTCAGATCAAAGGTACAGTTTACCCCCAAATCAAAATACAAATTTTTCCTCTTAAGGCTCATTTATACTTCCCTCTACATATGAAAATAGATGTTTCAAATGTTGTAAACGTCAGTGGCCTCATACTTCCATGCGTCCTTTATGATAGCACACATTCAGCTAATAGATAACACTAGAGGGTGGAGTCAAAGGTTTTACACAACAAAAAAGGCGACGATGCAGGTGGTCATAATAATGTTCCTTTAAAGGTCTGTGCAGCCGTCGTATACACTCCGACATGTGGACAGACAATTCTTTTCACTGCACTACCCATTTATTCAGCACAGCCACACTGATGCATCATTATTTAAACTCAAATGATGATACTGTAGCAGTCACAGGGGCAGACGCTGTACTTTTACTTTTCATACTTTTAAGTACATTTTCTGATGCTTTGGATTTGAATTCAGGGGTTTTATTTGTGGTATTTATGTGTTTCATGTTGTTGTACCAGTTATTTTCTTCAGTTAACGTCCTGAATACTTTTCCACTGCTGCTTCACTGTGTATTAACTTTCATGGTGAAATATTTTGGCGTGTGTTTCTCCAAATATTTGATACTTGTTTGTTTTCCAGGATGTTCTCGGCACTGTTTGCAATTTAAATTTTTTCCAGCTGTGAGCGACTCCTCTATTTCCTGTGTGCATCACTGATGAATATAAATACTGGAGCTTTGTATTAGTGCCAGATTGCTGTTGGAAGCAACAAAAGTGAGACAGTTTTTCCAGAGTTAACCCTTTATTCAAAAGAAATGTTCAAACAATAAAAGGAGCACAGGCGGCTCAGAGTAAAAGAGTGAATGCTACAAGCCGTTAAGAGTGGTCGGGTACAAAAACGCAACCTGTTTCAACCGTCACCAAAATAAGTAATCAGCTTACTTGGAATAAAATGCAACATAAAAATAAATCAAAGTCCTTACCAGTTGTTATAAGCCTAATCAAAACAAGAGTGAAATGTGTATTAAAAACACTGGTCACACACACACTTCCCCTTTTTGATTTACAAGACTGAAGTAGTTACAGGCTGAGGACAGAGTGGCGTCAATATCTGGAAAATAAGCATCAGAGTGCCAATTTGTTCAAGATTTCAATGAGAAACCAACACACACAGTCACACTCTTTAGATAAATTCACCTCAGAAGTTTAATTTGATATTTAAGCCTAAAGAAGTCAAATTAAAAGTGATTAAAAGAAGATTACAGTAGGCTGAGTAATGCCTCCCTTTGTCGTGCAGAGAGCTTCATTCTGGTCCTCTTACTGTTCCCTAAAGCAGAGCAGCGTTAGGACGGATACGCCAGACTTCTCTCTGTATTTAACAACATATAAAAGGAGGTCTGAATCCCTAAACTGCTCCCACCTTTGTTTTTTACGGCATACAAATACTGTTCTGTAGACCTGCCGGCATATGGGTTCCTTAAGCCAACGGCCTTTAATAATTAGAGAATCACAAGTAAACATTGTAACACAAGACAAAGTAACAAATCCCTCTGGTTGATTGTGTGATACATTATGGGGACATACAGTACAGAGAAACATTCACCAGGCCTTTTATTTGGAGTGAATATGCTTCCTTTCTGTTTAAGCATCTACCTGATGTTTCTGCAAACTAACAGGACTGCAGCTCAGTCAGAGTCAACGTTTTAGTTTGACTGCTGAGCAAAGCACTAACACCATATGAAGGGCTCCTGCCCCATAACATACCTGGACCAAGAGGAAAAGGAGGCACACTTAACACAGACTGAGGGAAATGACTGGGCTGAGATTTTAAGGTATAATCCTTTAGATTTTCATGAGAGCTATTCCCACTATTCATGCATTTTTCCTGCAATAGCCATTTGATGTATTTACAGTCAGTAACGACCTCTCTAGGTAGCAGTTTTCATGTTTGTGGCGGGGTCCGCCATTCCCAGGCTGGATTTTAATTCAGTCTCACGGTTTCTGATGCTGTGTTTACACTACGAGCAACAGGCTTTTCTTTTTATCCACTGGCACTTTATGCTAGAAATAAACATTAGTTTATTTATAGCAGCCCACAACAATTAAAACATCTACTGCCACATTTTGATTTTCTATTTTTGGAGCTGGACTGTTCATTAGGTGCGCTGCTGGAATATATGTACACCTTTTGGTTACTTATTGCTCCACACTCACGGAGCACAGTGCACCTCTGGGCACAGATGGAGCGAAAACTTAATCGTTCATTGCACTGGGTGTAAAAATTTGCTTTCACTCAACTCTGCAGCAGCTGCTCCTCTCATCCGTCAGTCTGATCCGATCAGCTCTGATCATATCGACTCATCAATTACCCACTCTTTGACTTAAAACTCCATAAACTGCTGCTGAGGAAAAAATGAACTCAGGAAGACTTCTGCCTGCGCTGGGTGCTGAAAACAAAAACAAAAACAAACAAAAAAAAAAAACGTGTGGCGCTACAAACTGACGCCCAACACTTGTTACGTGACGGGGATGGCAGCACTGCAATGATGCAGTGAAATGTGATGTTAAAATGGTGCTTTGACATTGATGAAAACTAGGGCTGGGCGACATGTCGAGAAAATTATGTCATGATTTAGGGCTATATCTCAATATACGATACATATCTCGATATTTTTAAATCTCCTCAAAAGCACTTCATCAATGCAAGGACTGAGAAACAAAAACAAACACAACAATAAGTCTGATCAGATACCCTCTGTGACGCGACTAAGTTGTAGGGATGAGTCTGACTTCTGTTTGTTTGTTTATTTTTTCAGAAAATATTAATCATAATATGAATATAACCAATAAGTGGGTTAAAGCAATCGCTAAAACAAATAGAAAAGTCTGGTAAGTTGATACATTTATATCCCTTTACTGTCATGCAGCCTTTGAAATGAGGGGAAAAACACCATTTATGCCTTATTGCAATACAACAGCATCCAAAATCTATGACGATATGTTGTCTCATATCTCGATAACGATGTAATATCTTTACATTGCCCAGCCCTAATGAAAACCACAGATATTTTTTTTTTACCCAATACAACTTTAGATGGCGCTCAGTCGAGGTGCTTTGTTGCAAGTAGCAGACACACACAAGCCCAGGATGACATAACTGTACCAATGAGCGCTTGTGCAACACTTCAACAGCGACTTGGCAATACTGTAGCTGTTCGGGCTGTTGCTTTGTCACTTGTAGTGTTAACGCAGAGCTGTATACAGCAACATTGTCTACTGCTACTTCACATTAAAGGTCAAGTGTGTCAAATTTAGCAGCAGCTAGCAATGAGGTTGAAGAACTGAAACTTCGCCCCATGTGCCAAGTGCATTGGAGAACTACGGGGGCTGACCTGAAACGCAAATGGCCCTATTTAGAGCCAGTGTTTGATTTGTCCGTTCTGAGCTACTGTAGAAACAAGTTGGTGGACTGCATGGGTGAGGGCCTGCTCTGAACGTAGATATAAAATTCTAAGGTAGCCAAAAAAAAAAAAAAAAAATACTATTATTTTCAGGTGATTATAAAGTTGTGAAAACATAGCTATGGATGTTATATAGCAATTCTGCCTTTCGATGCCCCTACATCCTTCACACTGGCCTTTAAAAGCATTCAGCTGGGGAAACACAGGGTGGCTTCACTGCGAACGAGTCACAGGGAATGCCATGTGTTTGTCGAGGTTAACACTGACGGCTATTGTTCAAGAAAAAATGCATCTACAAAACAAGATTACAATCACTTCCTTCATTTTTCACCAGTACATCCTGCAATACCCTGCAATAGTAATGAAACAAGAAGTGAGCAGGAAGTGAGCTTGGTGTTGCCACGGTAACCACAGGTGTTGCCAAATCACCCAGGGGTGAAATCTTAAGTTTGCTAACAAACACTTTCGGCCTTTACTTTTCACTCTCTCCACCATCACAGACTGAAATGAGGAATGGTGTGTGAACATTAGGTCGAATCGTCAGGGTGGGTAAAATATACATGAAACATAAAGTAACTGTATGTATGCGTTAGCAGAACAGAAATAAACTTCAACAGAATAAACCTCGAACACAAGCCTGGTATAATAATTCTGAGATAAGACATATAATAAACACACATATCTTTAAAAAACGATGCATAGCATAAACAACATTGCAAAATCCAGCTCTACCGCACTTCATACTTAAACCTCAGCCGGGCGACTGGTCTCCACGAGTGGAAACAGGTGTCGGGAGTGTTTTTGCTTTTTCCAGGTGGAGCCTGCTGCTCAGGTGGACAGAGAGTCTAAAGCGCTCCCGTTACAAAACAAGGGAAGGAGAAGAAAAGAAGCGAGGTGTTTCTGGGGACCCCGAGGAGGAGGAGGAGGAGGAGGAAAAGGAGGAGGGGAGGTTCAGGTGGGGTTGAGATTTAAGGACTCCCTGCTGTAAACACTGCTGCTCAGGACCAAAGCTCCTCTGACTCTGCCGACTCCATGACGCTCTTCTCAAACTGAGTAGGAGCTGACTCTCTAGGTGTCCTCCTCCTCCTCGTCTTCCTCCTCACGGTTGCCCACCGCCCTCTTCCTCAGAGTTTCATCAGAGAGACCCTGTCCTTTAGGTTCTGGGCGGCCCTCTGGGGACCCTCTCCTCCTCCTCCTCCAGACCTCATCCTGGTCTTCATCTTCGTCGTCTTCGTCGTCATCTTCCTCGCCGTCAGCCTCGTGCTCGTCCTCTTGTCGCTGGATTAGCCTCGCCTGCTCCATTGTCTGTTTTTCTGCAGGATAACATTTAGAACAAGTCAGTGATGATTCAGAAATGATGATTTCTGTCGTTTATTTACATCAAATAAAGCAGTGTTTAGTTTAATCTCATAAAAAACTCACTCTGGTAGTAATCCGGAGAAGAGAAGCGCCGTGAGGGGAAAACATAATCTGCGATGAACACCAGTAACTGCAAAGACAAGACAGCAATAACCATTAATTCACTGGCAATTCACGTGTTTGTACTGAATGAACCGTGTAAGAGCATTCACTATAGTTATAAAAATCAAGTGTTACATAAGTACTCACCAGTCCCAGTGCAAGGCCAGAGAACAGAGTGGCCAAGCCAAAGATAACATAAGAACCCCAGACTGGGATCCCCAGGTGCTCTGTCATGTAGTTGTGACAACGCTGGAACACACAAAGACATTTTCACATGAGGCTGTGAACAGACAGTCAGTAACAGCTACAATATAGTACAGAATACAGCTGAACGTGGGCATCTCGGGAACCTTTAAGTAAAGGCAGGTGTGCTGAAGTGAGTGTGGTGCGTGAAAGACGCCACAGGGTTACAGTCTTTACCCGCAGCCTGTTTGGTTAATCTTAGTTTTTCATTGTTTGACACCCGATTGATTTGAACTTTGTTTCTGTAAGGCTTGTTTACTTAGGGAGTACTTGTTTGGGTATTTTTGTTTTCATTTCTTTTTTTAAACGGGACAGTCAAGACAATAAATTCATAGCGTCATCCTGCAAATCAATCCACTCTTAAACCAACCGAAGCACCCTGGATCATCAAACACTGAGTAAAACTAAACCAAAGACAGCGAGTTTATCATATCTCCTGTAATGGCGTCTGTGTGCAGCTATTTTATTTTATTTTTTTAACTTATTTGGAAGCTAAAATACATACACCTAGCCTGCAAATAATTTTCAATTTCCAAGGAGCATCATCAAGCGCTGTAGACTGCTGCGGCAGAAGTGAACAAACAAAGAGTGAAACCATCAAGTTATCTTTGGTGTTATTTAATAAAGTGATAAACAGAATAATAACAGGCAGTTTATCTATTTCAGCTGAAAGGTCAGACCTCTGACACCTGGCATGTCCTCTGCAGGTCTGACCAAACACCACACATTCAGTCACATAATATAATTAAAAGAAGAAGTGCACAGCAGAAGGGAGGCAAAGAGAGGCCCCCAGTGAACTGATAACTGTCATGAGAACAGCAACACAGCAAGCTTCTCATACACAAATGAAACTCTCCAAGGACTCAGTTTACTTCAGGGACAATGAAGCCTTATACACATGAGGAAGCAAAAAACTACATGTCTATATATGATAATGATTCATTTTGTTCCTACAGAGACCAAAATGTCTCACACGAGGCGTGTAGCTCTCGTGTAGCATCAATATGTCTGTGCACCAGTGTTGCCTTTTTTCTAAAACAGTCTATCAACAGAAAGTTTCACCTCAGCTGCAGCCATCTTGGTTGTCTTTACTATGCTAGGCTTATGCCAGCTGCTGTGTCACCAGCACGAGGGTGCACGAGCCAAAAATGACATCATCTCATATTTTGCGTGAAGCGTGAAGGCTCTGCAAGTTCTCAGTCATCGTATCAAACCTGCCTCGTATTAGATAAATGGTTGTGATGGGCCCGCATGAGGTGAAGTCGGGTGGAAGTCTGTTAGGGATTTGATCATCTGCCAGAGCCAATAAAACATGAGCGTGTAGATAAATCAGGTTTCCAGGCTACATATACAAACAGCATCCAGCTGCCAGACATTCTCACTGGAGCACCAAATGTATATTAATACGCAGATGAAAATAGTCCCAAAAAAAATCCTTCATTGAGAAATTTATGCTAAAAACTAAAAAAAAAAAAAACTCCACAAAATTAAAATATATACTTATGAACCATCTGTAAAGATTTAAATTTGTATAGGGTTGGGGCTGAGAGGCACAAGCAGGCTGGGGAAATCCCATTGACACTGCTGGTTTTTGTCTATTCATGGGATTTGTTGAGAGTTAAAGGAATGTGAAACAAAGCAAGCTTTATCCTTTAAGAGTGAAAACGACTAGTCATCTATCAGCAGAGGCTAGACTGGTTTCTGCTTTGTCAAAAATAATTAAAATTAAAAACCTGAGACACTGTACGGGATGATTTACTTCAGCACTGGGGTATGTTTCCTGTAAGTTCATCCTTCTGTCTAACAATATGTATTGTCTGTGCTACAAGTGAGGTCGGAAACAGTTTCTCCTGTGTCTAATGTGTCGGCCCTGTTAAACTGGATTTGATTCTTTTTTTAAAAAAGACCCATTGTGTTTTGCAGATAAAAGCCGGTCTGATTCCCTGATGCAATTTCACACTGAGCAGCACATTCTTCTTCTGAATGGATTGTGGGAATTGAAATAAACACCGTCATATACAGAACAACCTACATGCTCGCAGTCGGCACAACCAAAGAGTGAAATCCTCACTTACCCGGATAAACATGGAGAGCTTAAACAAAGCGGACATCGAATTCATCCTGCCAAGAGAGGAGGAAAAAAACAGAATGTAATTTAACACGGATTTGTCAAACTGCAACATCACTACAAAGCCTAAACATGAAAAAATAACAAGTAGGGGACGGGAGGGTGTGTGTGTGTCCGATTTTATACTGGCAACAGAGGAGACACTAATAATAGAGCTAACAGGGCAGGTGTCTGATGCTGTTTCTGCTTCAAAAAGAGTGATACAAAGCACTGGACTGGCACTGTGATGACAACTTCAAGGTTTCCTTAACTATGTGTATCCTCACAGCTGGGTGATATCAATCTAAATACATCTCCCGGTAACCAGAGGAGCTATTTTTGGTATTGGGGGGAATGGACAGTCAGCTCTATGTAACCCCATCACCACACTTTATCATCACCACGATCGTGTGGCGCTGTAGAAACTCACAGAAAGGAAGACGGCCCAAACCAAGAGGAAACTGGCTCCACTGATCTCCACTTCTGCTCATCGACGAAGCTGAGGAAGTCGTCTTTAGTGCGAGCTCCCTGGTACTTCCTGAAGACACCATCTTTACAGCTGAAGTACAAAACGCAGATGCAAAACGATTTCAGTTTCATTTTTATGCATATTTTCTGTCATGAACATTTCATGGACTGACACATGAAAAAATGTGTGTTTAACTGCTGTATTCTGACACAGTGACAGCTGATGATGATTGACAGCCCGAAGGGTAAGACAGCGAAGATGGGCGACAGGCCAGTGGTATAACTGCCAAAATATCAGTGCAAATTTTCTCTGCAGTGAAGCGTTGGGGTCGACGATGCTGTGTGCCAAGTATACAGCTACAATCTGGAGCTTGCAAATGTGGGATTTTTACACTAGAACATGCATTTTTAAGACTTAAAAAAATAACTTTAACAATGAGATATAAAAAGGAAACTCTGCCTTTACAGGATCTGATAATAAAGCTGTCAGTGGTGGTTAGAAAGTGGTTTTCTGTATCTGATTATTGCTGGTGTTACGTTTGGTGAGACTGATTGAGAATTGAAATAGTGACAAAACTACTATCAACAAAACCTGCAAAATTGTTGAGAATCAAATAAACAATTTCAGCCATCAATCGAGTGAAAATACTAATTTTTACACCAGTGCAACCTTCTCAACCTTCTTTGTTTTCTTAATTTAACCAGTAGTTAGATGATTTTTAAATTCATAGAAGAAAATTAACAACTTCTGATCTGGTTTTTTTCCATTCATTTCTTGACAAGTTATAGACTAAATGGTTAATTGGAGTAAATACTAGACAAATTAATTAATTAATCAACATTAGGTGCACCCTTTGTGTTGTCCCCAGTCCAATCGTTTAAATCTATGAATCAAGTTTTCTTCCCCTTACTGATGACTGTGTTAAACATATTCTGCAAACACCATGCTATAGTCTGTTTAAAATGTGACCTCATAGATGTATTAAAGAGAACTGATGAGCTATGAGTACTAAACTAGTACTAAGAGAAACCAAACTTAGCTAAACCCACTAGATTATTTTCTTTCAAGATGGTGCACATCCGTATTGCATACACCACAAGAAGGCAGACACGATGAAGCAAAAAACCACAGAATAACTATGAACTTACTGGTAAATAGTCGGAAGTGAAGTGATGATGAATCGCCCACTCAGACCTTCAGAGAGAGGAGACAGAGGACAGTCAGCGTGCAGGAAGGAACAGTCTGACTCATAATTGAACTGGCTGAAATAATGTCTGACAGCAGCTCCACTGCACCACTGGCTAACATGAACACTTAGATTTCATATCACTTTGTTAAAGCTCATATTCAGGTTGTTATTTGTTATATTCATAACCAAAATAACCAGTCTTTCAGTCCATGTTTAGAGAGTCTGCATGTTGCTGCCCACTGCTCCTTTTCAGCAGTGCAGTTTCCCTCTGGATAAGAATGCTGTCAGGAATTTTGAGACAATTCAACTTGCTAAATAACATACCTTTACACAAATGGAAACTGGTGCACTTACAAATCTGGTACCAGCTATCTGGTGTTTTTGTACCTTGACAACCTGCCTAACGTTGCCTTTGAAACTCATTTACAAATGGCCTCTAACAAGTGACACATACTGAAGTTATACTGTGACACATTATACATATCTGTTGAGATTATGCTATAATATCAAGAAGACTGTGGTAAGGGTCCATGTGGTATTTCTGTTTTAGATAATTGTAGAAAGTGTTGCAAAATCAATGAGCAGGACTGTTTTTGGCATTATTTGATTCTTCTGATTTTTTTCTTTGGTGTAATAGGGGGCCTTTGAGGCTTGAACGGTCTGGTATTCCACTTGCTAGACTTTCCTGACCAGTTATTCTATAAATAAACAGTCTATCAATAGATTTTCCAGAAAGTTTACATCAATATCATGTTACTAAATTACATTTACTGTAATAGAGGATTTTTATCTATGTAGCCCAGTCTTTGAACAGAATTTGTAACTGTAATACTAGGTTATACATTAATTCCTGAATTGCTGGTGTATCTTAAACAAATACTGCAAAGTTACACTCAGTTGCCAGTTTATTATTTCCAAATCTATGCAGTAAATCCTACTTTCATGAAGGATCTAAAGAGGTTTTTTAATTAGTTTTAGAGAGGTGCTGACTCAAGTTTGAGGTCATTTTGGAGGCTGTAGTTTGTAGTGCAGTTGAACTGTGTTGCCATATACTGAGGTGTTTCTCATATGTAAATTATAATACTGGACATAAACTAGACAAGCTCTGTGTCCTCATCAGTTTCCAACACAATATCAGGAATTGTATTAACCTTTCAACCAGGAGTCTCTTTTTCTACATGCCGATCCAACAGAGGAGAGGAGGAGGAGAGGTGTGGTTTACAGCGAATAAGAATTGATGTGTCAGTGGGAATGTGAGGTGCTGTCCTGATCCTGCTGTGGATCACTGCTACATGCTGTGCAAAGCCGGCTGCAGAGCGTCACTGCCTGTGTTCAGGTGGTGCGACCATAAGGCCATCGAGATTGGGATGTGTGGACAGTTTAAACATTCCACAACCACAAACCATGGATTACCAGAACCATCTGGACACATGGACCATTATGTTGCAGCAGCCAACAATGTTAGAAGAGACTAAATTACAGTCCACAAGTTAAAGGAGCTGATGGGATCACATTTCACTTGACTGACTGAATATCTAGTCCAGTGATTCCCATCCAGGGGTCCTTGAGGGAGCTCCAGGGGTCACCACAAAAATGGGGAACAGTTTAGTTCACTATTTATTTCACTATTGTAGTGAGCCCAATGTGAGTAGGAGTCATGAGAGTGAGTATTCTGATCATGGGTTTCACTTCCTCCATGAGTATCTCCTCAGTTGCAGCTGATAACTACAGAATTCTGATCTAATCCATAACTAGCAACCACAATCTTTTCAGATAGAATTCAATTCTCGTCAAATGGGAGTCTGTGTATCGACTGTGTATTACTTTAGGGAATCACTGAGTCAGTCTGTGGTCATCGCCAGCAGAAACTGGGAGGACCAAGTATTATAAGCACCTCCTTTACCATACAGTTGAATGTTCTAGTACATTACATAAGCAAGGTCTTGTCTATAGTGGAATAGAGCCAAAATAAGCACAACTGAATCAACACCTCTCTGACACAGCCTCACCAAAACTGGACATAACAGGTCTCAGCTGACTGGTGTTTACTGCAGAGCTGCTGGGAGCTGTTTTGTCCTGCTGCTCAGCACAGTATGGACATGCTACACTGAGCTTCACAGGCTCAGCTTTGTTATGCATGCAGCAGTCTCAGTGTAGCTGCCAGCTGGCAAAGGTTATTCAGGCTTACCGGGTTGTTCTGTCACATCCACTTTGGCTATGTTGACCCCCATGTCCTCCCCCCATTCCGCGAACTCCTTCCACGCTGGCTGGAGCTGCTGGCATGCTGGACACCAGGGTGCGTAGCTGAGGGGGATCAAGTGTCACAAGTAAAGCCTCAGATGAACTGAACAATCACTCACATTAACCTTCATATAAACACCAAGTCCAGGCTGAAATGTACTGATGACCTGTGTATTTTAGCTTCTAACTTAGCAAACTGGCTAGCATATAACTCTGTGGCAACCTGGTTAGCTAGCTACAGATGGTAGCTGTTAGCTTAGCTGGATATTTAGAGACTCGACAGCACTGCATGGAGGCAGATTAGATAATAATCAGATAAGACAGCGCATTTAAGCTTGAATCTGACCGGAAATCGAGCTCGAGCTCAAAACAGCAAAGATAACTGACAAGCTAGCTAGCTAGCCGGTTAGCCGTTGGCACTAGCCGTTAGCAGGACACTGACAATTCAATCATCCATTCTCCTGTCAGGATTTCCTCCCAGGTCCCGTCGGTCACTTCCCTCAGGCCGTCCCGCTTTGCCGAGGCTGGCAGCGACGTTAACAACACCACCAGGAGCAAACAGCATATCCACGGGTGGGGTTTTGTTCTCCGTGTGGCAGAAAACATTGTGGAGCCTGTGTTGCTGTAAGCTAGCAGACACGCCATGTCTGATCTGTTTGACACAGCCTGCAGTGCTCACTTCCGCTCTGCGCCTTCACGTCCGAGTCAGGTGGGTAGTTTTTATCTGCTGAAAAAGTCTGAAATTATCTTTAGAAAATACAGATAATATGAACAGTTATCTGGTGTTGTTTGCTTAGTCGTGAAACAGCAAAGAAAGCAACGTTAGCGATGCAAATGTTAGCATGTAAGGATATGCTAAGCTAACTGTTAAATAATGGCGGACATCTAAATGATCTTATACAGGTTTCCCTATTGAATGTTAAATTAAACCAACTAAAGGCAATATAGTTAAGCAACCTGTCAAGTCCATAAAACTGAGACTACTTTAGTCCATTCTTATTTACTTTTTATCTCCAGCAGGTGGTGCCATTGCTCCTAAAATAACTCAAAGCTATGAGTGAGGCAAGTGAGAGGAAATGGATGGATGTATGACAGACAGTGATTGAAGACGTATTCAGATCCTTTACTTTAATGAAGTAGGAACACTGCAGTGTAAAAATACTCTACATCAGGGATACTCAACTTGCTTTGCTCAGGGGCCACTTATGCAAAATGACAGGGGGCCAGGAGCCAGTCACAGCAGCCCTGCATAGCTCATATGTACATCACATTATCAGTGTTGTCACATATCAGTGGACTTTAGTGTCTTCATGTTCCGCACAAGGTATCCTTTGGCGTCAGCACATGGTTTGTTTTAGGCCAGTGGTTCCCAACTGGTCCACCCACAGGGTCCAGATGTCTCCTTAGCCATTAGTTTGAGGTCCCACAATTAAATACAGTCAGCGTCATACTTGAGTTTGGCTATGTCGTTGAACTACTTTGCTGTCTCTGTCATGTAGGTGTCAATTAGTCACTCACTCTACAGCAGAAAACAGCACTTGAATGTAAAAGCTCAGTCATGGAAATTCTGCCACCCACTAGTTTGGAACCACTGGTTTAGGCAACAAAAGCACAGTGGTAAGGATAAGGGAAAAAAACATCATAGTTTGGCTCTACATTCATACAGGAAGCGAACACTGGCCTCCTGGGTGAAAGTCCAGGGTTTGTTGGACCCATCCACAAGTCCTCCAACCTGCCCTATAAGGACTGTCTAGCTCCTTACATTACATTGTCACTGGCAGCGTTACCAGCTGCTGCAGTACAGTGGTGTGTCATACTAATGGGACCGGTACCATCTGACTGCGTTATGTACTGATTCCATCCATCCACGTATCATACTGCAGGGACAGGTGCCTTCTGGCCGACCGGCAGCATATCATAAGGTCGCGAAAGGTTCCGCCTGGCAAACTGATGCAGCATCATACCGCTGCGAAAAATAGCTTTTGGTGTTGGTGTCTGATGCCAAAATCACCGACAAAGTATTGTATTTGACCACTCCAGAATGAAAATGGGCATTTCTATAATTCGAGGATGTTCAAGGCTTAGCTCAGACCTCTGTTGGGGTTGTGGGGAGTCCTCCTCTGCTACTTTTTTATGATAAACAAACCCTATTTTGATGCTTTTTGTGCACCCAGGAACAATATTTACTTTAGAAGAACAAAAATAAAAAGTATTGTTATTGTGAGTTAGAAAATGGTTGGGGGGTCCGCACAGCACCCTATTGAGGGCCGGATTAGTTGAGTATCACTGCTCTTCCTAAAAGTCCTGCATTCCCATTCAGGAGCTGATTATGTTCCAAACACAAAAATTTTGTAATACTGGATTTCTACTTTAATTGAACTCAGAAATCATTAGCTGTTTTTTTTTCTGTCCCCACCAATGGAAGCAGAATCTGAGCGCAGAAACCACCTTAAAGTAAAAATGACAATAAATGGTCTTCACTTCATTAACAAAAACATGAAATTATTTATTTGTCATGAACGATTTGTGTATATCAATGAATAAAGTGATGCTTTCAAACACATAAAATATATATTTTTTACTGTAACTGTCATCAGTACTCAAGATTTCAATTTCTGAAGTATCTCCAGAAAACAGTGTGTTAACAAACCTCCTGAAAAATGAATATTCTATGGACATAATCAATGTGATACATTATAAGCTGATTGTATCACCAGAAAATCAAATTAGAGCAGTATTTTCCTTTTCATTCTCCAAGTGACACTCAGACCCCCTGTCCATACCAATGCATAGATGTTTTTGAAAAATTCTTTAAGGGAAGGTTAAACACCCATTATTTGATATTTTGAGATGTATAAGTAGTATAACTTCTCATGTTTACTTTTAAAACTGTTTAAACACAAATTATGTACTTTAACATAGACTGAGATGTGCCTTGTGCTTCCTCCTTGCCTCATTCAAATGTCCTAGGATAGCAAAGGAACAACCTACCCTGTGCTCCCCATGATTGGCTAGTACTTGTTGCCTTCATTGGTTGGATTGGTTAGGGCAAGAATGTCAAGGTAAGCCAATCAGAGGCAGAGAAAGGCAGGTCATTCCTTTTGTAATCCTATGATTTGCAAATTTGCAGCCATGCTTGTTAAAAAAGCGTGTGTGGCTCCACTGCAGTCCACTTCAGATGCTGTGTAACACTGTGATTGGCTTATGGTCATCCCATCAAATCAGTCTGTGTGCTTGGGTGTAGTCAGATGACAGTGATTGTAGATATAGACATCCTAGAAAAGTTATGTCCGTTGGAATGGATGGAGGGTCTGAACAGGTTAAGTAAAATTACACAGGTATTTGCATCAAGATATACTTTAAGTACCAAAAGTAAAAGTAGAATATTATGCAGAATGGTCCATTTCAGAATACTGTATATGATATTACTGTGTTTAATTGGTGATGTATAAATCATCACTTGAATGTTGCAGCTGGTAAAGATGGAGCTAATTTTATGCACTTTATATATTGCAGGGCACTGGTGGACTAGAGGGGGATGTGTGAAAAGAAACGCTGCAAAAGAGCCCTCTTGGATGATCCTATGGTAGGTAAAACATGATAATGTGCCCTCCAGGGTGCACTCCCAGTGAAGGAAACAGGATGCAGTGCACTAATGGATGCCCTTAAATGGAGAAAAAAAAGTGCCCTCTAGATTTGCTTTAAAATTGAGGAAACATAATACAGTACCACATATGTTGCTCTACATACTAGAAAACAGTATGCAGGTGCCCCACAGTATGGAGCTGGTGCCCTTTTTGTTTTTACGCCCCTGCCTCTCAGACAGCCTGAGTCCACCACTGCTGTGGGGTAGCTCATATCATGGTATAGATTAACGTAGCGTGCTGTTGTTAGAGTGTATATTTGTGAAAAACAAGAGTGCAGCTGCAACTAAACACTTTAAAAACACGAAAAGTGCTTCTTACAACCTCTGATAGCCCAAACTGACATCATCAAATCTTCAAAAGTCTTCAAAAGACAGTCCCAAACCCAGAGATATTCACTTCACCCTGATATAAAACAGAGAAAAGCAGCAAATCCTCACTTGAGAAGCTGTAACTGGAGAATATTCTCAGTTTTCGCTCAAATAAACAAATCATATTTGAGCACTAATCATTGTAAACAGAGGTTTTGAGGTGCAGATTAATAGGTTTAAGCTCCTGATGGATTCTGATAGCAAGTTGCAATCAATGTTTTGATCCAGGAGGAAGTGTGTCCTTCGCTCAGTATCTTCAAAGCTGCACGATCAAAGCATTTTGCATTTTGCATCTGCACATGCAAAAGAAGCCCACAGAGAGCAGAGTGAAATCCATTTGATTTGACCCGGAGGTGAAGTGCAATCCTATTAAGACCCTGCCTTCTAAGTAGTGTCAGGCTATAATCTCAGTTTCTTTCTCATTCAGCATTTTCATTTGTCTTAAAAAAACTTTAATGTTAAGAAATTACTCTCACTGTCACATATTTAAATGTCCTGTTGCAGCCTGTTAGTTCAAATTGTTTGCTAGTTCCTCTCATAGTTGCACTTTGAGTCAGCTGAAATGTACATCTGTCACATCACATTTCTAGGCTGCCTGAACCACTTAAACTCATTTTAATATGAAGAAGCAGTGGTTCCACTTGTGCTTTTTCAAGATATGTGTTATGTGATGTGGAGCAGGTGGACAGCAGGAGCTCAAATCTATCACACTTTATTCCAGGGAAACAGCAGCTGAACATCACACAACTAAATCAAGGATCCAACCAAGACTGAACTGAAAACCAGGACTCAAATACAAACTAGTCTGACGAGGGGATGAAGTGCAGGTGGAGAAAAAGGGCGGAGAAGCTCAGGTGAGTGGAATAAGGCGATGATGCATAAGAATGGGCAGGCAGCTGTTGGATGGGAACAAACTCAGGAGCACGGAAAGGCTGATGAGGCTGATGCAGGGCAGGTGTGTCGCTGGGTAAATGAGGGAAAGGCACTAATTGGAGGAGTGAGAACAGGTGAATGAAACTATTCAGGGCGGGTGTGACAAATGCCCTGCGTTCCAATATCCATACTACCATACTATTTAGTATGCCTGAAAAAGAATTAGTGTGTCCCAATACATAGTATGTCAGATGCAGTATGCCAAAAGTACCAGGATGTTCTACTACATCAGGTCAAATTTCACAGTATGCATGTCAGCATGCTTCTTTGGCCATTCTGACCCACAATCCTTTGCGCAGCGGAAGTTACGTTGCACTGACTGAGCTGCGTGTACAACCAACGCCCACACTTCCTTTCATACATGGTTTATTTAATTTGAGATACTAAGACACTACATATTAGGACTGCAATGATCTGATTATATACTGTCACATATCATACAGTTTTGCAAGAACACGGTTACAGCATTCAACTTTATTGTGATTATAGTATAATCAATGTTAGGGTTCAACTATGACTACAATATAGAAGATTCTACCAGTATAGGCAGTGGTGTAAGTGTGGTATAAATAATGAATGAATATGACTAAATATGAATACACTATGGGCCAGGTATGAGCAGTATAGACTAGTAAATATATAAATAGTAAAAGTCAAACACATAGTCAAACATCTGCCAGCAACAGAGAGCTATGTGTGAAGGGGGTTAATGTGCCTACTGGTGACTAGTTCAATAGACAGG